AAATCCCTTCACCTATTAAATCATGGAGAATTCTGTGTCTGAAGTGCAACAGAAACATAATGCAGAAGTGCATTTCCTTAGGAAGGCGGGCCATGTGACTTCCAAGAATAATTTGGTGCACCTCTTTTGGGAAATTCATGATCATTCTGCTTGTTATTCTGATGTTGGTGTGGTCACTGTGGCAGACTGGGAGAAACATACATAAACTGCTGCATTGAGGAACCCTGAGCTCTGTTCTCTGTCTTGCACACTTGGTATCTTTGCTGGGATGTGGTGACATTTGGCAAGCAGGCACATGGAACAACACACGGTTGGCTTCCCAGTTTCCCTGGATGCCTCACTTGTGGTGCTTTTCTACCTCCTCTTGCTGCTGCCTCCAAAATATGCAAACCCTGTAAAACATCTGGGCAACTCTTCACCTGTTCAACCTCCCAGGCAAAAGATGGCCCAAGAAGGTAAACAACATGGCAAATTAATTGCTTGACCTGTTTTGTATCAACAGGAAAAGAGCCCCACTTTGAAAGTTTGCAGTACTCTATTAAGAGTTAAAAGGAGCAGGGGGTAATCTCAGTGGCTTAAGTGGCTGCCTGATACACTCAAGTTTGTGATACACCCATGTTCCAAAAAAAACAAAAACAAGAAAGATCAAGAGTTTAAAATGGCTGTCAAAAAATATGGATTTAAAAGTACTTTTGTAATTGGCATTATTGAGGGTATCCTTCATGATTGTGAAATGATCCTTTTAGACTGGAAAGTCTCAGTGTGTACTATTATCATTCCAGACCAACATCAGGTTTGGCTTAAGAACATACTGGTGCTGAGGATATGCAAGCTATAAATAATTTTGATTGTTATATTCCTATAGGAGCTGCTGAATTATGAGAGGAGAGAGATTTTTCAGACATTTGTCAACAAGTTAATTGCCACCCTCAGGCTATTATCCTCAAATTGCTTTAAAAGCTTGAAAAAGAATCCCTGAAGCAGTGGACACTCAAGGTTTTTAGTACTATCAAACAGGAGGACACTGAACCTTGCCTTGATTTTATAGAAGATTAAATAAAACTATTGCATGCCAGGTGGACAATAAGACAGTAGCCTCTCTCTCTCTCTCTCTCTCTCTCTCTCTCTCTCTCTCTCTCTCTCTCTCTCTCTTTTTGTCTTTTTCCTTTTTATCAGTACCGGGAATCAAACTCAGGAGGACTTCCTGCTTTCAAGGCAGGCACTTATGCTGCTAAGCTAAACACCCAGCCCCAGTAGCCTCTATCTTGTTAAAGCAATTAACATACAAAAATGCAAACCAAGGCTACAAAAATGCTTTAAAAGATGTTTCTATGAAACCTGACACTAGCTTGGAATTCACTGGTATGTTTTTGAAGGTTCCTACTACTTTTTATGATCCTTTACCTCCTGAGACAGCTGGCCAGTTCTTTCCTGTTCACCTGCATCAAAAAAGAGGCACTTTTGTTATCCTTGGCCTCATTGATGCTGGTTATATGGGCATATTGTTGCTTCAATTGTGATCTCTCTTACTCAGTCAACTAATTTATTTAAATCTGTAGACCAGCTAATTGTCTTGCCTTGTCTCCTCTAAAACTTGTGATGTTTTTCATGGAAATCTAGCATTTGGCTCTACTGTGGTGGCTCCTGCTATTCCCCTGGGAGATGAATGCTGAAGCCTCTCTTTAATTATTGACAACTTTTCCCTTTCAGGTTTGCTACACACTGGAGATGACAGTTTTGTTTTACTCCACTCACCTGGCAATACTGTATTTCCCATCTTCAATGCTATTCCCTCTCATCACTTGAGGATGTACTGGAACACCTATAGTCCTTGGAATTGATTTAATCAGTACTGTCTTACCACTTACCAAGGCTGGCTTTTCCTTTTTGCTGTGCTCTGCTGTTCACTCGGCAAGACGCAGGCCTGGGAATTTAGCTCAGTGACATGAGTGCCTGCCTTACAAGTGCACAGTCATGAGTTTGATCCCTGGGACCAAAAAAAAAAAAAGCCTGTGCAAGTGGCTTTGGCTCTCTATGTTGGTTCCATTTTTATTGATATGCCCCATGATCCCTTTTTTTCTCTATTTACCCTATTTCCCTTTTCTCTTCAAAATTTTTGGTTAGCACCCATTTAAATAGTGCCCTCACTGTCTTCACTGATGGAACCCCCCTTCATGAAGCTGTAACATATGTTTTTAAATACTTGGAAACACCTGTGTTCACTATCACAAACCTCTTTTCAATGCAGTGAACTCTCTGTGTTATCCTTGCTTGGCAAATTTTTTTCATACCAAGTCCGTAACTTAGTTACTGCCTCTTTATGTGTACATAATGCTATCCCACACTGATCTTCTCTTGTTATCTCTCCCGTAGCTATAGACTCGCACTTAATGTCTCATTTTTGCATCTACAGCAGGCTCCTCTTTGCCTTCACCATGCCCCTGTTTTTCTTTTACATAGAGGTAGTCATTAAGCCCTACCTGTTGTTTGATATGATCATGCTGTTACTGATAAAGCACTGAATATTCTGTTCCCTCTTTTTTTGGGCAGGGTCTTTTCAACACAGTGTCTCTATATGCAGCTTAGGGTGCTCTTGAGATTACCCTCATTTGATAACACTAAAGAAAGCCCCAATTTTTTTCACCAATCAGCATGTTCCTTGCACAAATTGTTTCACATTCCACCTTCTACAGCTAGAGCTTTTATTTCCACTGGTTTCTATTGTGCTGCCATGCCTCACCCTTTTCCCTGTGATACTGTCAACTCTCGTGGCCTCTGCTACAATGACTCATGGTAACATGCTACACACAGTGTTCCTCCTTAAAACTTTTTCATTTCTTCAAGTTTTTGTTGATTCATTTTCTGTTTTTATTTGTGCTTCAGCACTGCTTGGTGAATCTGCCCAGCATGTAATTCAACATCTCCTGGCTGCATTAGCTGTCAAGGGTGTATCTTCCTTTTTTAAACTGACAATGGTCCAGCCTACACCTCATAGCCTTTTCCTTCCTGTTGTTCCACATGGCAAATTGTTATGTAACTTGTATCCCCTCTAATCCCAGTGGCCACACTTTCATTGAACAAGCTCATTATTCACTCAAATCTCTTCTCTTGAAACAACTAAAGGAGAAAAATGCTCTTCCTGCACAAGTTTTCACTATTCTGTCCATGATGCTATTTACTTTCAGTTACTTGTCTTTCCCAACAAGGCGTTCTTCTTCTCTGATTCAAATATATTTTCATGAGGGTATCCTTCTAACAAAGCATTTTATATTGTATAAAACACCCTGAGAGCCACGTAGGCACGGTCTGGTGCCCCTACTGAACTGGGTAAGATGGGATGCTTCTGTTATTTCCAAGGCTTTGTGTGGATTTCTGCTTGTTGTGTTTTCCCTGCATGGAATGAGTTGGTACCACAGGCTACTCAACATAATTCTACCATTTCACCTCTCCCTGAATCAAGCCTTGGATCCTTTTATACCAGATCTTTGCTAGTTGGTGTATAACAAATCCAACTGGTTGATTTGTAGTTGTAAATTCTAAATTTGTAAGAAGGTATTATAATTTGGCTTAATTAATGATATGCTCAAGTTTACTCTGATTTTATAAGATGTTTGTCAGTCTGTCCACATATCAGTTGCCTATTTGTCCAGTCAGCTTGTAAGAAGGTGCTGAAAGTTGCTGAGATTGTGATTGTTCATACCTGTAAAGCAGAAAGCAAAAGTGCCCTTACAGGAGTGCTCAAAGTGCCCAGAACATCTGGGAAATGTCCTGAGGGCATGGAGTGCTGGAGGTGAACAGGTATTCCAGTACGGAATTTAAGAAGTGAGCTAGTTTTCTTCTGTTTTATTTCTTAAGTTTTTATCTAAATTATCTTCTGTTTTTATCACTCCTGTGGAAATGGGCTCACATTTAGTGTCTTTTTTTTTACATCTACAGGCTCCTCTTTGCCCTCACAATGCTGCTCTTTTTCCTTTATATATATGTAGTCATTTATACCTACCTGGCTTCTTACAAGATAATGCTATTTCTGATCAAGGATTGCAGATACTCTACAGCCCGCACTCCTTTTTTTGGCCATTTTGAGGCAGGTTCTCCCTATGCAGTTCAGTCTGGCCTTGGGCTTACTCTGTAGTCTACCCTCTTTTTGATAACACTAAGAAACGCCCTGCCTTTTTTCCACCATTACACTTGTTCCTTGCATAAATTGTTTCACATTCCACCTTCTGAAGCTAAAGCTTTTATTTCCACTGGTTTCCATTGTGCTGCCTTGTCTCACCCTTTTCCCTGTGATGCTCTCAACTCTCATGGCCTCTGCTCCAATGACCTTTGGTCATTGGAACATGCCACACACTGTTCCTTGATTTCTTTTTCATTTCTTCATGTTTCTGTTGATACATTTTCTGGTTTTATTTGTGCTTCACCACTGCATGGTGAATCTGCCCGACATGTAGTTCAACATCTCCTGGCTACATTTGCAGTCATGGGTATATCTTCCTACCTTAAAACTGATAATGGTCCAGCCTATATAACTCACAGGCTTTTGCTTCCTTTTGTTCCACATGGAACATTTCTCAAGTAACTTATATCCCCTATAATGCCACTGGACAAGCAATCATTGAGCAAGCTCATTATACCCTCAAATCTCTTCTCTTGAAACAAGTAAAGAAGAATAGTGCACTTCCTGCTCAGGTTCTTACTATTCTGTCGATGGTGCTATTTACTTTAAGTCACTTCTCTTTCCCAACAAAGCATTCATCTTCCCTAGTTCAAATATGTTTTTACCAGAATATACCTCTGACAAAGCCTTTTGTATTTTACAAAACAACCCCCAGACCCTTGTGGGCAGAGGCTCTTGTCCCTGCTGATCTGGGGAAGAGGGGATGTTTCTGTGTTATTGCCAAGGTGTTGTGTGGATTTCTGCTTATTGTGTTTGCCCTGCATGAATGCATTGGCACCACAGGCTCCTCGTCATAATTCCACCATTTCAGCTCTCCGTGATTCAAGCCTCAATTCCTTTTATACAGGATCTCAGCTAGTTGGTCTATAAAAAATTCAACTGATTGTTTTATAATTATAGACTCTAACTTTGTTAGAGGGTATTGTAATTGAGCTTAAGGATATGCTCAAGTACACTCTGATATTTTGAGATGTTCTTCAGTCCGTCCATATATCAGTTGTCTGTTTGTTCAGTCTGTTTGTAAGCAGTTGCTTGGAGTTGATGAGCTAGTAATCATTCAAACCTGTAAAGAAGAAAAAAGATATGCCCATACAGGAGTGCTTAAGTGGCCCAGAACAGCTTGTAACACTCTGAGTGCTTGAGGTGTACAGGTGTTCCAGCACTGGGAGCATGGGTTGTAAGAGATGAGCTAGTTTAACAAAGGGGTATGAGAAAACTACACAAATGACCTCTGAGGAACTTAAAGGGTTCTCACAGACCCCCACAAGCTCTGTGCTCATTTCTGTGTTTGTTTGAATCCTCACAAATTGTCTATGTTTATCCAATTGTCTACTCTGTGAACAGCTGTTCCTTTCATTTTGAGCTCAGTAATCTTTTTCTTTTTCCATATCTGGATCACATAATCAAAGATTTCTTTTGGCAGTGAATTTATAAAGTGTGCTTTTACCTTGTTTGCCAGCTGTTCCAAATGTTACAAAGACTGGGTATATGAATGGAATATGTTGTTATTTATCATTGACTTGATAGTCTCTTTATTTAGAAATGATATTATTAGGATGAATAAACAAAATCCTTTAGGACTGAGATTGCTGGACAGGGTTCTGATTGATAAATCAAAAAACAGCTGCCTGGTAACATTTTTAACCAGTGCTTGTTTGTTGATCAAGGACCTCAATGATCTCCATAGCTTTATAGGAGACACCGTAACTAAAGTTATGAAACGTACTCCAAAATGTTCACATTGGTCATTGTCAAAAGAATTAATACATTTTTTGGATTGAAGATGCCTGTGTAAAGGTTTCACATGTTTATGACACTTGATTGTTATCAAATTCATGATGTTTTAGATATATTCATATTTCTGTAGACATAGGCCTCCAGGATTTTAAAATGGGGATTACTTATGGTAGCAGACTTTTGTTTCATGTTCATACCTCTGCTAACACCAAAGACTTGTGAGATTCACATTCCACTAAAGGTCAGTAAATTGGTCAATCATATATAAGAAACTTCTTGGGTATGAGATAAGGGTGATTGATCAGAATGGATATTTTATGTCAAAAGAGAAATTCAGATTATTGCAAGGATATCATGATACAATAATATGTATGGCTCTGATTTCTGATTTACTATGTAAAATATGTCACTGTTAACATTGTAGGTATTCAAATGTTAAAATATCGATAGTTAGTAGAAAATACATTTCATTTAACGTTCTGAGGTTTTTTATGTTTAGATAAAATAGTAATGTTAAGCTTACTGCTTCTAATATACTGTATTGTTATCAATCTTTTCTTCTGGATGTCCAACAGCTAACATTTAGAGACCAAAAATGAGAGACACAGATGGGCTAAATGGATAGCCAATATTTTGGCCCCAGCACTTAAAGCTTGGAGGAGACCCAAGATGTAAAGGAAATTCTGCTTGCCCTGCTTGCCTTATCAGAAGATACTCAGTGAGTACCTACTATTCTGATCAGGAAAATGATGAGACCAGACAGGAAAATGAACTTTGGTGCAAGGTGTGCCTAAGGAGAGTCACAAATCACCAGAATAATCTCCTAAGGTTTCCAAGAAATCAACATAGTCAAGAAATGGCCCGAACTCTTCCAGGTGGTGGACAGTGACAGAAGAGATATGAGGAGCTATGCAAGGTTATAAGATTTTTCTTGAGGAGACCTAACTGGCCTTGATAGGAAGTAATGTACCAATTGTCCTTAGTGCAGTCCTTATGTCAGCATGGGCTTGAACCTTCTGCGGAAAAGTCTGGCCTCTGGAGGTACAGTGCAATGTAAAATATTGTCTGTGGGTGAATCTCGGATCACCCACATCCTCTGACAATTACTGGCTATGCTGCTAACTGACTACCATTATGAATGGATGGACTGTGCAGTGGTGGGAGCTCTAACACAGCCTCTCCATCTTCTGCTGGTCACCCATCTGTGTATCAAACAAACAAATAGAAGGGATATGTTGGAGCCATTGAAGCTGAATATTCATGCAGGGCTGTGATGTGGCACAGGCATGATTGAACTGAGAATGAAGACATGCCTCAGGGGGCAGGAGACGCCACAGGCAAGGCCACCTAGACACATTCTGTGGGATAGTTCTCTGCAGTTGGGATAATCTGTTGCTCTGAGAGGGTCTTGAACCTCTCCCAAGATCCTGATCAGGTTTCCTCCATTGTCCACTCAACTCCTGCTGGCATGATTTGGCCAGCTGGCTAGCAGACTGATGAGCTCTGCCAAGGATCTCTCTCCTCCTGCAACCCAGAAATTCATGCTGTGTTTCGCATTTCTTAGAGCCTTTTTGGTACACCATTTTGGCATCTCGGTTTCTAGGAAAAGACCCCAACATTCAACATAAAATGTATCTGTTTTAAAGACTCAGCACTGAAATGGTATTGTTGGATGATGGCAGGACCAAGTATCAAACTAACCTGTCTTAATTGTCTTAAACCTGTTAAAGACAATTTAAGTATACAGAAGCTCTTCTTTTCCACTGTATTTTTTTGGTTCACCAATGCCAAATCCTCTTACATGACACAACTTTCCTCAAGAGATTTCCACTCCAATCAATGACCTACATATGAATTATTTTTTGAAGGAGACACACATAAATATGCAGATTTCATGATATGTCTCCACTAAGTCATCCTGATGACATAATTAACACTCCTGAGCCATCCCAGGCCTGAGAGGATAAATAGAAAGCTAATCTGCCCTTCCTGTGAGCTGGTGGAAGTCATATGGGGAATGGTAGGAGAAACTAGCCAATGTGCCCAAGTTGTGATTCTGTGGAAGCTATTCTGGTTCTCAGAAGAAAAGCAAGAAAATAACTTACATTTCCTGTGAGCTAACCACTGCATTGGCTGGGAGAGGCCAATCACCTCCTCCCACCACCAACCATCTGACTGGTTTAGAGGACATGCTGAGTTGATAGCAATGGACATACAAAAACAACTTAATCCTTGTATTACTTGATTGACTTTGCAGCTTAGGCTAGTAATCTTAAGCATGTCTTAAAATTGGGAAATAATGGTAAAAGAAGTTGCAAAAACTTCATAAGTATATGGAAATTAAATAACACTCTCCCAAACAAACAATGGGTGACAGATGAAATAAAGGAAGAAACTTAAAAATACCTACAACCTAAAAAGAATATAAATGGAAAATCCTGTACCTTATGGGATTCAATGAAAGCAGTCCAAATAGGGAAACTTATAGTAGTCAAATCTCACATCAGGAAATAGAAAGAACACAAATAATGAAATGTTGCATCTCAATCTTCCAGAAGAAGAATGGCAAGACAAACACAAATCCCATACAAGGGAGGGAATTATAAGACCAGGCAAGAAATTCATGCAATGCTGAACAAGAAAACAATTCAAAGAATTAATGAATCAAAGAGGTGGTTCACTGAAAGAATAAACAAAATTGATAAACCCTTGGACAACCATATCAAAAAAGAAAAAAATAAAGACTGAAAACCATGCATTGATGAATCAGAAGAATAAAATAACTACAGATCCTGTGAAAATTCAAAAGAGCATCAATATCTCCTTGAAAAGCTTATACTTTCATAGGTTAAAAATATACAATTGTACTGATTCCTAGACACATATGAAATGCCAAATCTGATTCAAGAAGATATAAAAATTCTACAAAACACAGTATCAGTTAATGAGAATGAAGATCTAATTAAAATTTTATCAGCTGCTGGGCATGGTGGTGCATTGCTGTAATCCCAGAATTGGGGAGGCTGAGGTACAAAGATTGTTGTGAGTTCGAGACTAAACAAGGCTACAAATTAAGCTCAAGGCCAGCCTGAACTGAATAATGAGAGCCTGTCTCATGAGCACATTAAAAAAAAAAAAGAAAAACAATAACAACAGAAAAGCAAATGACCAACATAAAAAAATTCTAGTTCCTGATGGATTTACTGCTGAATTCTACAATAAATGTAGAAAAAAATTTATGGCCATTGCTGTTTAATGACTTTGAAAGAGAAGCTGTTCTCCCTAACTCACTCCTGGAGGCAAGAATTACCCTGATACTAACACCATAGAAAAACCCAACCAGAAAAAGAAAACTATAGGACAGTTTTCCTAATGAACATAGATACAAAAATCCTTAACAAGATACTAGCAAGGTGAATGTAGCAAATCATTAAGAAGATTTTAAAACCTGAACAACTTGGATTCACCCCAAGAAGGCAGGGATGTTTCATTACATGCAAATCAACAAATTTAAATGTCATATCAACTCAGGCAAAAACAAAAATCACATGGTGATCATCTCAATAAATGCACAATAAGCTTTTGATAAAGTCAAGCACTGATTTGTGATAAAAACCCTACACTAAATAACTACAGATGACCTTTATCTCAAGCTGATAAAATCAAACAATGACAGGGTTGGGGATTTAGCTCAGTGGAATAAGCACCTGCCTTGCAATTGTGTGGTCATGAGTAGGATCATCAGTACTGATAAAAAAGAAAACAAAAACAAAAACAAAAAAAAATCAGACAATGACAATGAAAATCCAGCACCATACTAAATGGAGAATAACTGAAAACTTTCATTCTACAGTTATGAAAAGCACAAGGATGACTATTATGACCACTCCTATTCAATATAGCTCTGGAAACATTAGGCAGAACAATTAGACAAAAGAGAGAAATAAGAATAAGTATATAATAGAAATTAGTTAAACGTTATTATTTACAGATGAGATGATATTCTAAATAGAAGATGCCAAAAATTCCACCAAAACAGTCCTAGATTAATAACCAAATTCAATAACGTAGCTGGAGACAAAGTTGACAATCAAAAATCAATCGTATTTCTGTATACAATAAACAAACTCACCAAGAGAGAAGTTACAGAAACCAGACCCTTTACAATAGCCTCCAAGAAAATGAAATACTTGGAAAGAACCTAACAAAGAAAGTAAAGGACTTACATATGGAAATTTATAGTACATTGGAAAAGGATATTGAAGAGATTATCAGAAAATAGAAAAATATCCCTGGCCCATTCTGTGCATTGTGTTTTCACACTGTTAGTGACTTCTTTTGATGTACAAATATTTTTAATAAGGTGGGGTCCCAGTGGTTGATTCTTTAAAATGTGTATTTTGTTCACGAAGCCTCATTAGTGTTTCTGTTTTAATATTTAGATCTTTCATCTACTTTGACTTATATTTATTACATGGTGATAGACATGTGTCCAGTTTAAGTCTTTAGTATGAGGAAAGTCATTTTCTTCAGCACAATTTATTGAAGAGGCTATCTCTCTTCCACTGAACCTATTTGGCTCCTTTGTCAAAGACTAAGTAGCAAAATGTGTTTGTAGTTCTATTTGCATTTTTTCTAGTCTTTTTGGACGATTCTCAGGTCTGTTTTTTCTGCCAGAACTATGCTGATTTTTTACAGTACCTTTCTAGTATTACAGCAAGTCAGGAATTGTGATGCTTCCAGACTTGCCTTTGTGGCCCAGCAATTACTTTGGCGATCTAGAGCATTTCTGTTTCCAAATGAATTTTAGAAATGTTTTCTCTACATTTGTGAGCTATCCTAATGGTATTTTGTTGGGCAATGCATTACATCTATATGACATTTTGCAATAAGATTTTTTGAGTTTTCTCCATATCCTTGAAGGTAGTTTTAATGGTCTCTTATACTCACCAGATGAAACCTAATAGGTATGATCCTAAGAGTTTCAAACTGTTGAGCTCTTCTTCCCAAGGATATCCACAATAATACGATATTATTTTCTATTTGTTTGAGGCAGGATTTCCCTATGCAGTTCAGGCTGACTGTGGACTCACTTCTTAGTCCTTTAAATTCAAACTGATTGTCCTACTTCAGCCTCTTAAGTCCTGGGATTACAGGTGTGCACCTAATGCTTGAAACAATTACTGGTGTTATTTGAAACATGAAGAAACAGTCATGAGATAAACATGTATTCATTAACTGCCATTCCCTTTAAGGAAAAGTGTATAATATAACACATAACATCATTGGAGTGTAGGGAATCACAAGATGTGTTTCTATCTCTTATGTGCTGGGGATGCCAGGCTAGACTACTGCATGTCACAGGTAGGAATATCAATCAAATGTGAGCATTAGTATTAAGAACTCAGAGAGTATTGTATTTAAGGATGATGAGGAAAAGACCAGTGGAAAGCAAGGAGAGACCTGGTAGGCTTAGCTTGTCCTGACTATAGATCATTCTTTATTATAAGAATGAATATCACAAATTATGAAATATTCAAACATTATGTACTTTTTACCCTTGAAAATATTGATTCTTGACACTGTAGCTCAGGTGTGTTGTAGCTTGGCACAAAAGATGCCATCTTGTGCCCTGCATCTATCTCGTGCTCTGTATTTCACCCAGGGAAATTAAAAATTACTCATGATATAAGTTCCATGAGAAAAGCAAAAGCAGCTGTACTGAAAGAAAAAAAGGAACCTGCTAAAAAAAGAAGGAGGATGCAGGTGTCAAATAAAATTTCACTTAAGAGTTAAATTGTTTCCAAATGTCTTTTGGATTCTCTTTTTTCCAGTTCAGGGCCACTTGTTTTGATTCTGAAATGGGGAAGATGTCTGTATACAAGTGGTTCAGCTATTTAAATTCCAAATTTATACTTTGGATGCTTGAATTCCTGTACTGTTGTTCACAAACTCACCTCCACATGAAGAAAGTTTTACTGACACAAGCAAACATCTGGATTAAATGTTGGTGCCCCTGGAATGAAAGAATAATAGTGAAAACGAGGGAAAAAATGACAAACACCATGTGTTATGATGCCCACCTCTTTTCCAACAGCATTAAAGAGGCTGAGACAGGATAATGGTCATGTATTCAAGGACAATTTAACCTACACAGTGAGTGAAAGGCCAGCCAGAACTACAAGGTGAGACTATGTCTTTAAAAACAAAAATAAAAATAAAAAATGTAAAAAACCAAGGGAGAGAGAAAGACTATCAAAAGAAAACAAAAACAATAGAGCTGAAAGAAAGCTGATCTAAATTGGCAATTATGGAATGATGTTGCCGAGGAAAGCTGGCCATGTAGTGGCATCTGTGCAGCAGTGACAAATACAGAGCTAGAAATGGTGCCTATAGTGCTACAGCACAACAGTGACCTCCTTCCACCAATAAATCTGCAATTTGCTAGAATGAAGAGGTCCAAAAACCTCATGGAAATCTTAAACTCAGAGCGACCAAGTAGCTACACACAAAGGCTTTGGAACATGGCCTTTAGCAGATATTTCATATTCAAATTGAAAAAGGACAAATATAATCCTGCCCTGTTTGATGTCAAATGCACCAAGTTTGTTGACTCACAACATTGAGGAATGAAGTCACAAAACAAAAGAAATTCAGAAAGTTTTCTGGGAAAAAAGAGAGAATAGCCCTGGATTTTCAGGAATGTTCTTCAGTGTTTAAGGCACAGAATTATTGTCAAGTGTCATTTTTACAGGAAAGTCACAATGTGGGTACAGTGTGGGTCTCAAACTACAATCAACTTATAAACTTGTAGTGGCTTAACTAATATTATTGAACCTTGGAAAAAGTCAACCAGAAAAACTATGTTAAATGAGCCAAGGGATTGTGTGGGAACAATAACCCAGTTGTTCTGGTCATTGAGTATGGTAACAATGCCTCTCTAGACTTCCTGGAGGAGGTGGTGGTAACTGTAGTACATTTCAAGCTATTGTTTTTCTCTCCAGGAGGCATGTAGACATGGTCACTACATCTTCACCTTCTGGCTTTCTTCAGTTGTACTTCTAGCAGGGATTGTTGTTTTTAGGTTTTTACACTGACTCCTTTGAGTTTCCATTTCCTCTCTGACTGTATATCAATTCCTCTCTACTTTGGCCTCCTCTAGTAAAATAACAATACTATTTGAATGGATAAAGTAATGTTTATACATTTAATAAAATATAATTTAATGGGACCTTGGATTTAGCTCAGCAGGCATAAGCACCTGCCTGAGAAGTGCTAGGTTGTGAGTTTGATCCCCAGTACCTAAAAAGAAAGTGCTTTAAACTGCAATGAAAGAAAATAATTTCATTGAAGATGTAGATTAACAAGATTTTTAATTAAATATGTCAATGGCAAATTAAACATTGGTAATAGTCACATTTACAATCTAAATATATAAGACTATGTATTGAGCTCAGTGGTCAAAGCACCTGCCTGGCAAGCACAAGGTCAGGAGTTCAATCCCTGGTACCAAAGAAAAATCTACAGTTGTCAACCACCATGTAGTGCTATGAGCACAACTATTGAAATTGATAGTTGTTCATTAAAAAGCTCAATGTTTCTTTTGTCATCTATGAAGTACTTACAAATAACATGGTAACTACAGTGAATAATACACTGTGCACTATACCATTGCTATTTGCTGAGAGCTGCTTTTATATTTCCCCACATAGTTGAAAGATGAAAATGATTGGTGATGACAGAGAAACTGTGTTAATAATATTTTCAATTTTATCAGATATTTCACTACATCCATTAAGTACATTTTATCAGCTACAATTATGCTAAGTGAAATAAATAAATAATTCTTAATGTTACAGGCATCTGTGTTAGTTAGAAATATAGGCAGTCAGATAGTGATATAATGGAATGAAACTCCTGACCTACTGTGTCTGGTAGGAGTTTGTGTTCTATAAAATAGAAGAATGAATTTTAGGAACAATGGAGGTGAAGAGCAGAATATAACTCTTGAGAGAAAAAAGTGAAAGGTTTTTGCTCTAGATAGGATATTACAGCAATGGGAAGAAGGCCAGGGGACATTTACCCTGAGGTCACTTACCTCTCCCTTAGGCAACTTACCTGTGGCATCAAAAGAGTCCCTATCAGCTACTGGCACACCAGCAATGCCACCTTTAAGCACCACCCCAGTCAAAAAGTAGATATAATCTCCCTCACCAGGTAGCCAGCAGAAAAAGGCAGATGTCTAGTGGTCATGTGGTACTCTCTACCTTCTTAGAATTATGGCCATTTTTACTTTATATTCTCTCCTTTACCACAGTGAAAACCCTATCAGAAAGTTTCTGTCTAAGAGAACAGGAGGGGTCATAAGTGGGTTGTCTAGGACTCTGTATCTTCTAGGACTTTATAGAATAAATCATGGGGTGAGATGGGTTTAAGGTGGGGTAAATTGGGAACTCACAAGGCAGATGGGCATAACTTTGGACAGAGCTATGTTTAGCCAATATAATTAATAATTCAGGCAAAATCATTTACACTGCAGACAAATGGGGAAGTGAGGTCATACAAAGCAGGCATTTTACAGAGCTGTAACTCTCCTCTATGGGATTGGGAGGGTGACTCCTGACTTCAGCAGGGTGAAAGGGAACTATTTAGAAAATCAATTCTTAGGATATAGATGAATTTCCTTAGTATTTTCTCTTGAGGCCTGTCCCATAACAGGAGGTATCTGTCTCCCCAATAGCTGCAAGGTATCTGGGCTTCTGAGCTGGCCACTTCTAGGACCTGATCCTATCTCCTTGGCTATATATTTCTAACTAACTCAGCTGCCTATAACAACAGGGCTGGCCCCTCAACGGAGTCAGATAATAAGTTCAGATTGCTTGCAGGATTGGAAGAGACAATCACCTCCTGCTGTGGGCCAAATCTCAAAACAAAAGTTAAATTAAATACAACTAAGTGCTAAGGAGTGACAATCCCAATAGTTCTCTGATCACCCTGAGGAACTCAAGAGTCACCATCCCAACCCTCTACAAGAAGAGTTTCTGCTCTTAAACCTGCCCACTTACTATGACTTGCTCTCCCATTTGCTCCCAATTTAATCAATTTTACCTGTGTAATTAACCTTATTGGTTGACCACTTTTCTACTCTGCCTTATGCTCAACTTTCAGATTCCCATTTTTCCCCTACCCTGGACCCATCTAACCTCATAATTTAACTCTATACAAGTTCCTCAAAAAGACAGTCTTTGGCAACCCACTCAGACCCTTCTTGTCTCTCAGACAGAATCTTTCCTTCTCCTAATAAATATATTCCATGCTTAAACTCTGTCATTCCTAAAATTCATTCTTCAATTTTAGAGAACACAAACTCATACCAGATATATAGTAGGTAAGGAGTTTGATACACCTTGTCTTAGTTACTTTTTACTCGTTGCTGAGACAAAATACCTGAAGCCCAAAGTTGGGAAAGGAAAGGTTTATTTCTTACAGTTTTTGGAGGTTTCAGTCCACACTCAGTTGGCTCCAAGACAGGCAGGCATGGCTGGACCGCAGTTCATGTCGGCCACCCACAGCAAACTCAAACCAGCAAAGAGAAAAACACACCTTCTTCCTGCCATTACATCACATCCTGGCTCCACCCCTATGTGGGTTAAGCACTGACATCATCAATCCAAGCACTATACAATGAACCATCACATGTGAACAATGCAAACTCATGAGTCCTGGGGGACACAAACATAAACCATGACATTCCACCCCTGACCCCCAGGACTCATGTAAATCCTTTATACAAAAGACATTTAGTCCACCTCCAAGAGTTTCCAAAGTCCTAACAGCTTCAACATTGCTGAAAAGTCCAAGTCCCAAGACTCCTCCAAGATCTATGGCAAACCCTTAACTGTAAGCCCCTGTACAAAAGAAACAAGGTTAAACATTTCTGAAATGCAAAGGCACAAGATAAACATTACCATTCCAAAAGTTAAAAACAGGAGAACAGAAAGCATTTGAAACAAAGCAATTCCAACATCCAGCAGGGCAAACATTAAGTCCTAGAGTTCTACACTCAGCATCTGAAGCAATCTGGTTGCAAGTTCCAAAAGCCTTGGGTGATTCCACCCTCAGGGCACTTCCAGCGATTTCAATTCCCACAGCTTTTCTCTTAAATCTGTGCCAAAGATACTCAAAATTGTTTTGTACGGAGTCACTAAATTTTTGACATCTCACAATTGGTGAATTAGGATAATCAAATGGATCTATGAGACCTATTAGTTTAAACAGTTCATGCCAAGGATTATCAGTATATTCCACAGAAGTAGAAGCAGAGACCTTGGTGTCTTCAGGTCTCACCAAATTGCAGAGCCAACTCCAGGAAGCTCTAACACCATTAAAGAATGCCATTGTTATAATTCTGTTTCTCTAGGACCACTCTCGGTACCAAAATCTGTATTGGTCAGGGTTTTACTAGAGAGAACAGATATAACCCAGAATATATAGAAACAACAAGATTGGCTTACAAATAGTCAGTCTCAGAGTCCGATGAGGAAGCGTGCAGAGGATGTCTATGCACTGGAGGCTGAAGGGTTCAATCCAAGATCTCTGGAGTTCACCCTAGTGTCTTGTGCAAGTCCACACCAGCAGGCTGATGGGTCTGCGACAGAAGGCCGAAGGCTCTGTGATGAAAAGCTGAAGAGTCTATGCTGGGAAGCTGAAGAGTCTGTACTGGAAGCCAGGAGTCAAGGTCCAAACTAAAGGCAAAGACTGGAGCTTCTCCCAAGAATGGCACTGATTTGTCTTTCCTCCTCTCCTTTTATACCTCGAGGTGATAACTCACCCTAGAGTGGGTCTTCTTCTACATCCTTGGGTGTAGAATTGCCAAACCCATTTAGTTAGCTTCTAACTGTCTCAAGTTGACACAATCAATCAACCACTAGACAACTATACCATTAACATGAGCCAAATTAACATGACTATACTTTTACAATGTTTGAAATTTGTTCCTTTTCCTGCAGTTTCAAGTGATTAATACAACTCACAGTGATTATAGTCCTGGCAATACCTAAAATTGTATACAACAGCCATTATAAGTGTAAAATAATTGCTTTGATTGTATTATTTCTCAAGAAATAGACTTTGCCATGGCACTAGGTTATATCTTACAAAAAAGAAGGTTTACCTGTAATTTTCCAGAAAAATTTCTACATTATTGGCTGCTTGAACAATTTTTAATTAGATAAACTGTGCATTTTTTCAGTTTCTAGAAGGCTTCTATTATATTATTGAAAGCTGTCTGTAGGACTCTAGGGCCTTGACTATATTTTGATGCATACTTCTATTTTGAAACTTGCATGAAGATTTATTTTTATCTTAGGAGTAAACTCACTGCATTGACACTGATAGAGTGAAGCAAAAGCCCACTGCATTAATTTCCATTGGATACTCATGGCATAGAGCATGTGAATTACTGAGGAGGTAAATTAGTTTCATACATAGACAAAAATGAATACTGGTAGGATTTTATGCCCAATAGAGAAGCAGAATGATAGTATTATTTCCAAAAGCTGAAAAATATTTCCAAAAGATGAGAAGTATAAAACAAACAAAGGCCTTTATTCTGAGAACATGGAGAGAGATGACTGCCCACACCCCCACCGCTGGAGTCCAGTGATCTCTCTGGTGGACACGTGGGGTGTGGGTATATAAGTAGCCTCGGTGTGGGATGGAACCTAAGGAGGACTTTAGGAATGGACAGGTAGCCCATTGGTCCTAGGTTTGGCGCCATAGGTAAATTTCCAGGGGCGGGAAGATGGCATCACAGGTAAATTCCTAGAGGTAGGGAGATAGGGGCTTCCTGCTTCTGGTTGAGGCTTTCCTGGCTACAGAGTCCTGTCTGGGCCAAAACTCTTTCACAGAATATAAGAAAAAGTAGAAGTGTCCATTTTATTTAAAGAATGTGGAGAGGAGCCTAAAGCCACCAAGTGTTTGCCTTTTTTTCTGACTGATTATGGGATTATAGGATATATATGAAATTTGTTGGTGCTGGCAATGACACTGATATCGTGTAAGGAGCTGATTGGAATTTTCTTTTGGCCCCTGGGAAAAGAATGTGGAAGTTGTATTCAGGGAAAAAAGAGGAAGTATCCATATAGGTAAGCATCCCTGATTTGACCTTTCACTCTGATGAACTACCACCTTGATGTCCTGTAATTTATTCTAGGGCAAAACTCTTTAAAGTACATCCTTCAAGTTTAAATTAAGAAATGAAAATAAAGAATTTTTGCTATGTGTCTTCTCCCATGGTTAGTGGTAAACAATTCACAAGGAAAGTTTCCAGTCATTTCCATAATGCACTGTGGATAGCATAAACAAAACTACAGATCAGTTCACTTTCAGAAAACAGAAGCAGCACTAAAAGGCAGGGATAAAGCCCTTCAATAGAAATGTCTCTTAAGAAGTGAGATCAACATTTAGAATTACAATCATCTACTGTTTTCTCTGACTTCAAGAAAGAGAAAAAATTACACTATTATTGCTATAAGGTAATGAAACTCCAGGTCTACTATGTCTGGTATGAGTTTGTGTTCTCTGAAGTCAAAAAATGAATTTTAGAAAAAGCAGAAGTTAAGATAATATAATTATTGGGAGAAAGAAAGCTGTGTGAGAGAAAGCAAATGCGTCCTGACTGGGTTGGCAAAGACTGTCTTTTCCAAGGACTTTTATAGAGTAAAATCATGTAGTGAGGTAGGTGGAAGGTTGGGAAAACTGGGAACTCACAATGCAGATGGGAATAAGATGGAACAGAGCTATGGTAGCCAATAAGTTTAATAGTTCAGGTAATGTTGATTAAATTGGGAACAAGGGGGAAGGGAGTCACATAGAAAGCAGGCATTCTTAGTCAGCAGTGAATCTTCCCTTGGGGTTTGGGAGGGTGACTCCTTATTCATCAGGATGATAGGAACTATTTAGAATGTCAGTCTTTAGGATAAGGATACATTTCTTTGAATGGTGACTCCTGACTTCCTCAGAGTGCTAGGGAACTATTTGGAATATCAGTCCTTAGGATATGGATGAATTTGTTGATCTTCTGTCTTGAGGCTTAGCCCATAGCAGGAGTTGTCCATCTTTTCCATAGTTGCAATGTATCTGGGTTTCTGCATGGGCTCCTCAGAGGAACTAGCCCTGTCTCATTGCTGTTCATAATTAACTAACTCAGCTCCACATAACAGTACTTTTAGGAAAATTTAATACAGATGTCTAGTGCTCTGGGTGAATGATCCAGAATAACAGTGTACAATATATGTACCAGTGTTGTCCCCTGATTCACATGTTTTGAAATTTAGTTTTAGTTCATTTTTTTCTTTTTATCCTTGAAATGAAATGGATTTGGAAATGAAAAGCTGAGGTAAGATAACGTGGTACACATATTCCTCTGTGTAGCTGAGATCAATACTGTTGAAGACAACCAGCTACAGAAGTCTCTGACTACGGTCTATCATTTGGGGTCCTCTCTTGCAGGAAGGAGTTCCTGTCCCTGTTTATTTTTGACTCAGAAGGAGGGCAGTAGAGCAGCAGTCAATCAGTGATGAAGAGGCGGGCTATATGAAATGTCCAATCCGGCGAGCCATGGCAGGAGGTCTCTTGGGTCTCTTCCGGTGTGTAGACATTGTTTACCTGTTTGGAACACAAAACTGGGAGAAGAATGCTTACTGGATCTCATTTACTGGTTTCAATGTCCTTGGGCCTGATTAGCAAAGAATGTGGGAGACCATCTAGCCACGGAATGGTGAGGCTTTGGATGGGAGCCCAGAAATAGGGTGGAATTGGGAGAAACCAGTTACAAGTGGTTAGAAGCAGTTCTGGTGTCTGTAGACTCAGGTATTTAGTTAGCTTCAGCTCCTGAGTTCTTCTAGCATTGGCCTTGGGTCGTCCACTTTCTCTTTTTTCTGCTGCTGGGAGCAAGGATGATTCTGTGTCCCCAGAATTCTGAATTAACTATGATAGCAACAGACTGGAGTATCATCTTTGAAATTTTCTACTGCCCTGACACCTCCACCATAGGGAGCAGAGGAAGGAGCTTGGGAAGCCTCTGACTCTGATGCATTTTGTAGCTGAAGCAGCAGTACTGAGCTTGGTCTCTCCTCTCATTCCAGGGATGAGCAATCTTGATGTTCTAAAGTTTATAAATGTATGTAATGCAGGGCCTCATATCCACAAGGGAATTCCTTAAACTTGTACTTTTTTTTTTAAGAGGAAAAAGAGAAAAACACAAAACAAACCAAAGCGGTGTAAGGGTACATGTAATACAGAACTGCAAAAAAAAAAAAAAAAAAAAAAAAAAAACACAAAAAAATAACAGTAAGAAATCACCTGTTAGTAGATTACATATTATCATCTTGAAAATAGTTCCTCAAATCACAGTACTTTTTGTATTTATAGGGATTGCCTAAATTTATGGTATGTTCTCGCATTTCCAACCTCATGACAGGTGTTGGCAAAATCATGAGAATTCAGAGATATGTAGTGAGGTGCCTCAGTGGAGGAAGGCTTTCCAAACACCTGGTGAACTCCTGTGTACTATAAATAACAGTGCAAAAATTTCTGAACATACTTCATGTGACACATGTGCTCATAGACTATGTTTGTGAGAACAGACATAGAGGTTTGAATTTTGAGAAAAATGAAGCAGATATAAAAGTGTCATCAAGGGCAGGGTAAAGTGTGCTTGCTAAGGACAAATTTCAGAAAGGGCTGCCTGTTCAATTCTCACTGAAAAATGCCTAAATGTAGTCATTTGCATGAACATATACACGTGATATCCTTCTGAATGGAAAGGAATATGGGTGTCATCTCTGAATTAAGAGCTGATTTAATAGCTTGGTTGATCATATACATTGTTTAAATATGGAAATGCTCTGTAATGGACTTTACTAATTCGTGTAAAGAGCTGTCCTAAATTGAAATTGTGCAGGGATATCAATAGTTAAGGCATGAATGGTTTTCTGCCTAGGGTGTATCAGACGAGCATGGAAACTATGTGGAAGTGACCAGCAGGACACACTGTGCAAATAGCAGGACATGCAACAGAGAGGGTATACACTGAAAGTCAAGTAGTTCTTAGGGTAAGCATGAAGTTGAAGTTGTCTTATGATATCCTCCTTGAGGTGAAT